CCCCAATGCTCGTATAAGGATTTCACACCTAGAGTTCTAGGACTTTCAGAACAATTAAATACATATTTAAAAGTAAGCAATAAAAAAGGTCCATTATTAATTGGATTTAATGTGTATTAAAAAAAATAAACATAGTAAAGAAGTTTCTCTTTTTGCTCACTTTAGTTCTACGTAATGTCTTCTTTTTCTAGGGACAGAGTTGCTCAAAACTTGACATGAGAAAAAGATAAAGGGAATGATATGATTTCCAAAGAGAAGTGACTGCTAAATGCATTCCTTATTTGAACATGTTTGAGATGAAGACAGAATTTAGTTTCTTTATATGATTTAGAAAGCTACATTTTAAAGGGATCTGTGATTTTCTAAGACATTAACATTCAGATTCTGTCAAAGTGGAAATAAACTGGGCATTCAGAATTCAAAAACAAGTCTGCTGATCATCTAACAATGTTCTCGTGCTTTACATTAACCCTTGTAATAGAAAGCAATCAGGTTTCAGTTATTACCTTTCTCAGTCTTTCAAAGAAGGTGGATGGGCAACCTGAATCATTTCTATTAATAAAAAGAAAACAAAATGGGCTCTGAGAGTTGCTCTCTTAGTGTCATAAATGCTCTGGCAACATTGTAGGGTGTTAATTTTCAGGATGTAAGTCACTGACATAAAAGGAGGCAACACAAACATTTAATCTGAAACAGTTCTCAAATGTTGTTGGCTTCTAGGTCTGGCTGGCTTTGCTCGACTTTGCCCTGGAGACCAGTATGAGGTAAGTAACTTTGTAAATGTCATTTTCCATCATGCATTTCTTACTGTTCTCATGTCCTGTACAGCAAGAAAGGTCCCACTATTCTCTGTTTATGGATGAATGCACTTTAAGCAGTTCCCACATAAAGACTATGAGACTGGTCCCAGAATGCTGATTGATGCCTCACAAGATAACAACAGATCTTTCTTTAGCTTTGTCTTGGAAGCGTGTCAGCATGTCTCTAAATATTTTATTCTTGGCATAGGTTTTTTTCTCTCTTGTGGCTCCCAAATATAACTAGGGCAGGCTGAGTAGAGCAGGTCAATTAGAATAGTTCAAGTCGGCTCCCCTTTTTTCCCCCAAAGACAGATATGTTATTTACCAACAAGTAGTAAGGTGGAAATTTAGAACAAAGTCATGTCTCTAGTCTGAACACTATGTGATTCTGCATTCATGTATCATGTTGTAATACTTCATGAAATAATATTTATGCTTCATGACCTTGTATTAGTTTTCTCTTCTTTGTGATGTTCTAGACTGATATACTAAGAATTCTATCCAGTTTTTTTCTTTGAAATATATGATTTGCATTATTTTACAAATGAGTTAAACAAGAAAACTATCAGTTTCTGTAACGCATTGAAGTGAATCCATTAGTTTTGTTGGGATCTTTAACCTACTCACTGTGGTTAGTTCAGAATGTTAGAATGAGAGTGAAATATGTATGAATATGCTCAATGAGTTCACATTTTGTTTTCATAGATTTTCATGAGGTATGGCCGTCAAAGATGGAAACTAAAAGGCAAAATAGAAGTCAATGATAAGCAAAGCTGGGATGGAGAAGAAATGATCTTCCTCCCCCTTATTGTTGGGCTGATCTCCATTAAGGTACTGATGTATTGCTTATTATTAAATGCATTGCCTGCCTTTCTTCTTACAACAGTTAAAACAAAATACAATGATAAAAGATGACCTCAAAATCTGTGGAATTAAAATCAATTAACAATTAAAAGCTTGACAAAAGAAATGCATTTTCGGTTTTCCTAAATATAACTGTAATGTAACTGTAATATTGATCTGTAGAGGATAAGCAATGTCATTCTGGTTTTCTTTAATTCACTGAATGTATTGACAATTCTTTGTGTGCATCCATATATTTTACTGTGAAATTCTGTTGAGCAAAAGCCAGTCAGGGAAGGACACTGGGTGCTTTGTAACTTCATTTATGTGGACCAGTTTACTGTAGTTTTCAAGAGATTACTCACATGTGGGAATTTGCTTTTATATGTTAAAGAGCACAATTAGAAGTTTCAAATATCATTTCAGGGATTATGCTTTTCAGTTGAACATTGAAATGAATTATTAAATGTTGAAGAATCAAGTAATAAAATGTTAAATGCTGTCTTATCAAGTAAGCCCTTTCAGTTGAATGAATGAGCACACAATTTCTTCCATTTTTTTAAAATGATACTTTCAATGCTTGTTTATTTTGAATACAAAAGAGATTCTGCCATTTATACTTTTTTCTTTCAATACTTTTTTCTTTCTTCTGTTATTTTATTAACAGAAGAAAAAGTTACCTGTGCATTAACAATATAATGGAACATCAACATCTAGTAGTGCCATAAAAGATTAAGGCTTTTATTTGCCAACTACTTCAGCTGCGTGTCCTGAGAGAAGAGTATTCTATATATGCCACTGTTCTGGGAAAATAAGTAGGGAGGGGTAATGAAAGAAGAGGTCAGAAATTGTGAGAATGTTTTGGAAATGGTAACCATTAATAAAATAATGTCAAATTTGTGACAATTTATTATTATTTTTTGTATAAAGACTGTCCACTTTGTCCAGTTTTTTAAGATAGTACCCTTTGGCATTACTTGCCTATGCCTTGGTCTTACATACGTACTAGGTTTTTCCCCCTATTCTTACTTCCTCATTCATTGATCCTTCCCACACATCATTATTATTAGCTTCTGTGTCTCTGAACCATGTAAATAATACATCATTAATAATATATTGTGACAAAAACTGAGCTAGATGAATCAGTGGTTTGCAGCTTTCTTTTTTATGACAAAATATAATGCCATCCATGCAAGTGTGAAGTCCTCTATAAATCTGAAGCATTTTAGTATCCTTGTGATTCTCACATAATTGTACTCAATAATAACATTCAAGTCCCAGTATTTCTTACTCTTCTAAACAAATGAACAGTGTAGTCTTAGAAGTATTAGTATGCAAAAAAGGAGAATATTTGACATCTGGAGATGCTATTGAAATAATGAGCTGTTAATTGATAGTTATTTTGTTCCTAATTATTAACACTAATTCATTCTGAAGGTCACAGAAGTTAAAGGTCTTGCTACTCATATTTTGGTTGGAAGTGTTACTTGTGAAACAAAAGACTTGTTTGCTGCTCAGCCTCAGGTTGTCGCTGTGGATATCAATGACCTTGGCACAATAAAGCTGAATCTGGAAATTACTTGGCAGTAAGTAAAGTTGGCTTTGTGGAAAGTCAACATCATTTCAAATCAAGTGTTGTTTCAATAACAACAGCAACAGAAAATAAAATTATGGGATGTACTTCTACTCAGCTGGCATACCAGAGTGATAAAAGTGCTATATGGTACTGTAGGTCTGACTTTTGAGGTGCCGCTCAGATGGTATGTACCCTTCTGATATGTATATAAAATAAAATGCGAAATGGAAATATAGACAGTTCTTTTCCTGTATTTAATCTCAGAGGGTAGTAAATAGGAGCTGCTAAACAACCATGATATACATCTACTTCTTCATAACAGTGCTTCTATATTCTTAGAGCACTTAATAACAACTTAGAAGCTGTTCTCCATATATTTTTAGAGGTTACCAGAAGTATGGAGGCTTCCAATATGGAAACTAGCAATTTGGAGATTATCACATGTCATGGAAATGATGTTTCTCTCATTCTTAATTGCAACTGGAATCTATACTTTGCCCCTATATAGTTGTAATTATTAACCAATAGACTTGAGTTATATGCAAGAATGCTATTTTGTGAATCTGCTTTTAGATGTACAGAACGTCACTAGAAAAAGTCTGAACTGCTCCTGCTGTAATATCTTAAAAATGAAAACCCTTCTTGTAATTCAGTATAATAACATTTTAATGATAATTCAATCTAATAACAGATTTATACTTTGCAGTCCATTTGATGTGGAAGACATTACCCCATCAACAGGCAACACAAACAGAGCATCGGCTCTTCAAAGGAGGATGTCCATTTATAGCCAAGGCACCCCAGAAACACCAACTTTCAAAGAACATTCATTCTTTGTAAGTGAAATGTTCCCCAGTAATAGTGAAAACAATCAGTGATTAATTAGCATAGTTTGCTCAATTTTGTTTGAGATGATAGAAAGAGCGGCAAAGGAAAAAGGGAATATTGGCAAAGATTATCTCTTCTATCCCTAGCCTATTCCTTGATTCAGTGGGAAACCTTCTGTAAATGAAAGGAGCTTTCCATATGTCATATGGCTGGCCTAGATCCCACCCATCTTTTCTTTTAGGAAAGAAGATCTGATATTTCCTTCTCATGGATAAAGGACCACTTAGGTGTGAGATGTTTTCATAACAACACCTCTAGTGTGCGCTTTGGTTCTTAAGAATTCCAATAAAGTTTCTTATCTGTCTATACTTTGTACACGTACAGTATATTTAAAAGATGATATAGTCAACTAATTGCCCCTTTTTTTTGCCTTAACACTTGAAGAAATGGCAACATCCTCCGCATGACAGGCTCCACTCGGCCATTTTAGAGACTCTGCAGGATGCTTTCTTTGACAAGTTGCGTCGCAGTCGCTCATTTAGTGATCTGCCATCTCTCAGGCTGAGGTCTAGAGCAGGGCTAGAACGATATGTGAGTCCAGATGGTGTGATAAGTGATCTTACCGCATTTCTCAAGCAGTTCCTCTGTTTTTATGCATGTCCTAAATCTGATACTTCTCTTTAAGATCTGTCTTGTTTGCTGACTGTGTATTGAGCAAATAACTATAAGTTCAAGTTGCCTATATACTCAAATAAAACTATTTGGCTTTAGTTTTGCAATTTCTTTTTAGACAAAAGGCCAAGAAAGAAAGCACATATTACTTGAAATATTTTATATATATAGTTGCACATGGGCTGATATTTTTCTATAAACTATTTTTTGGCTTTTTATATCCAAGACAGACTGAATTTTAATTAAGAACCAATTTGGGTGAAAGACAGGAGATTAAGAAAATTAATTAGATGCAGTCTAAAGTGAAAAAAAATCACATTTTATCCCCATTGATTTCAGGCTGCAATATTGAAGGCTGCTTAATTCTCTTTGGGAAGTTATGTTTAAAGATTTGAAACTGTATCTCAGTATTGTTGAACAAAAAGATAAGATAATCCTCAGTGTACAGTAATGCACTGTACAGTAATGTCAATAATGTAATGACATGTGATATTCCCTTGGTGTGCATTTTGTTCCATTACGCTATTTTTTCTGCATGAAATCTGGTCAGCAAAATAAAAGACTCTATTTTGTTCATAAAGTTAGTGAATTTGCAGTGCTGATAAAGCTTCATGATTGGTTTAGAACCTTTCTGTAGACATTCTGGACCAATTCTGATCCTTCTTATTTCCTGGCTTTTGAATAGGTTTTTAGTATCTACCTGTTATTTTAGAAAAGATCAGTTTTATAAAAGGTAAATAAATGCATTTCATAACTCCAAATAGCCTGGTTTCACAGAAGGTGGTAAATTGTGTTCCTTTTTTAAAGTAAGTGCTTAACATCAGCTTTGTTTAAAACTAGATGAACATTTTAACTGTTTTTATTATATTTGCAGTCAAATTTACCAGATGATGTTTTTGAAAATGGAACGGCAGAAAATGAGAAAAGGTCATTATCTTTCAGCTTCAATGACATTACCAATGGACATTGCACTACATCATACTGTTCAGCGGACTCGTCTTCCACCATAGATAATTCTAATCCTGAAATTATTGCCACAACCCCAGAAACCAGTGGGAAAAGGTTATCCAAACCTCACACTGTGCACAATGTTCATTCAAGCTGTGAGGACTCCACATCTGAATCCAACAACTTAAAGTCACAAGAGCATGATGAAAATATGACCACAAATCTAGATTCTGAAGTTTGCCAAAACACTCTTCATTTGAGAAGCAACGGCGTGTTCTTAGCAAGTAATGCCTCAGTGTCACTTCTTCAGGATACAGATGAGTTATCAGAAGTCAAACCTGTAGAATTGGATACTTTTGAAGGCAATATCACAAAGCAGCTGGTTAAAAGACTGACATCTGGAGAGGGGCCAATGACACCCGAAAAGTTTCGTTGTGAGGGGTCAATAAGTGGAGAATCTGAAGGCTATAAATCATGTGTAGACGGAAGTTTAGAAGAAGCATTTCAGGGGCTTCTATTAGCTCTTGAGCCTCATAAAGAACAGTTTAAAGAATTCCAGGATTTGGACCAAGGAATTATACATCTAGATGAGATCCTAAAAGTAAGTTCAGTTTCACATAAGAAATCTCATTCATTATGAATAGAAGAATAATTATTATCTAAACTTCTGTAGTAAAACTAGTTGTTTAGATAGTAGCCTTCTTGATACCAAGCATCAATACAGCATTCACATTCGACATAAGAATGACCAACAAAGAAACCACAAAATGGAAGGGCCAGCTCAGGTCTTTGTTAAAATAATCCCAGTAAGCTATTCCTGAATTATCTTTTTGGCTGTTAAATTCTACAGTATAGGTCTACTTTCCACACAACAAAACAAAAAAGCCTTACATGGGAACAATCATTAGATAAGCTAAAACAACAAAATTGTGGAAATTCTGGTGCATTCTGCCCTCCTGTTCCAGTAATATGTAATGAGGTACTGTGAGGAGCAGATCCACCAGCTGAAATATCAAAACCAGTTGAGTATAGGCTGAGCTGAACAACAGTTTTCTTTCCCCTGTTTGATCTAACTTGGCAGGTGGTTGGGTAAACTTAAACCTGGTAAGTTCAAGGACATACCCATATAGTTTTTAATTATGGTACAAAAGTGGTTTGCCATTATTTTCTACTGGAATATTTTTCAAGTATCTGTCTACAGTTCTGTAATTTTCTGATGGCCTCTCATCTAAGTATTAACCAGTTCCAATCCTGCTTACTGATTTGTTTGTTTTTAAGATCAACCAAGGCTAATTATTCTTCTGCCTATAGAAGAAAAGCCCCTATATTTTGCATTTTCTAATCACCAGTATTTAAACTTGACTTGAAGGAAATTTTACCTTTTCCTTTCTCCTACCTTTAATTTTTTTTTCTGGACTGTGTTTAATTTGATGTAACATGACTGAGAGTGAAGCAATTCCATGTGCTGTTTTCATATGGCAAACCAGCAATATACAGAACTAAGTTGTGGTTCTGTGCCATAATAAATTGGCATGCCAAATGAAACCATGCCAAATTAAATTAGTGATGTCATTGAGGAAACACTTCCTATATGGTAGAGTACCATAGGGAGCATGATAAAGCACCACTCATTGTCATAAATCCATTTTATTAAGGTATCTTCTTGTAAATTGAATAGTTTAAAGTTATTAAAAGTTATCTTCAGATATCACTGGAGAAATATCTAGAGATAATAATACTCGGCATTTTTTTTACATTGCATCTTTATAAGTTTAATTCATTTTTGTAATCCTCACCCATTCATTCAGTTTAGTTGGAATGTATATTGTAATCAATGCAGTCAGTCAATGCCCTGTTGATGGTCAAGTCAGTTAATATTTTGGATATCATAATATTGCAATATTGCTGCTTGAGTAGCTTCTGAACTTCATTTTTGGACTAGTGTTACAGAAGCCTTTCAGTGTACATACTTTTTCCAGATTTATAATTGGCCTCTTTGATGGAAATCCATTAGAACTTCATTGGATAAACTTGGCTTAAAGTTGGATTCATGTAACACTAGCATTGGATTTCAACTGAAATGTACTAATAACCACAGAATATGACAGCTCTGTTAAAGACCATTAAATGTTACATTTACACTCTTCAATTTATGTTGAAGAGTAAAGCTTTGTTTGTACAAGAAATGTAATTTTTTAATTACCCTTATTAAATAGTTTTTAAAACACTAAATAATTGGGTTTCTGATCTTCATTTTTTTCACCATATTTATGTGCAGAGCTAGTAAGTTGTTTTTTTTTTTCTACTTCTACTAAAGATCATTTTCTATGGATAGCTTACAACAATATTAAATCACAATTTTAAAATTTATTAAACTAAAACAGTAATTAAAATGCAATATATAAACAGTAAGAGCATAGACGTCACATGTATAATAAAGCAGTGAGCTTAATCATACCTTTTGAATCTTGAATATTTAAATTTAATTTTATTTTGTTTTCAGACTCTGAAAACTGAGCTGTCATTTTGACAGGAGTCACAGAAGGCCCTAAGCCATGGTTTGTTCAATAAAGTGCACATACCCATGCATGCATGCATACATACATGCATACACGCACACACACACACACTTATACATATACACACACACACATGCACACACAAATATAAATAAACCACAACTGGTGAAAGTTGCACATTTTAAATCTCATAAATATTTATTTTTATTTTTATATTTATTTATATTTAAATGGCATAATTTGATCTGTAAGCCAATCCATGATGATTTTGGAAATGTATTTGTTTAGCTGATAGTGATCAGGTGCAAAATATTGACAAGTTTTTTTTACTTAGTTGTAGGAATTCTTAAGTCTTCTGTTTTAAAATGTGCTGTAAAATGTATTAGATTAATGAAGCATATAAAATAGGGACTTAAGATGACAGCCCATCAGTTTCAGTGGTAGGCATTGCTTGCATAAAGCCACATTTTCTTCTCAAGTTAGGATACGGTAAGGATTAGTTAACATCATGGACAGCAGTTCCCATGACACTGGGGGGCGGAGATGTTAGTTTAGCCTTATTTTCTTTGCTATTTTATTTAATGCATACGGGTAGTCCCTGGCTTATGTCCATTCTTGAACGTACAACGGCACTGAACAAGGGGACTTGTTGAAACACCCACACCCAATTTAACTGGAATATTCTTGAAGCAAAAACATTTTGAATGGCTAAACAGTTCTTTAAGTATGTATTCTTTTGGTTTTGCTGTTGCAGTGCAGACCAGTAGTAAGTCACAGCAGGTCATCCAGCTTAAGCTTAACAGTTGAGAGTGCACTGGAAAGTTTTGACTTCCTCAACACTTCTGACTTTGAGGATGATGGTGGTACTGATGAACTTTGCAGTGGTGCTCGTGGTGCAGACTCTGTGTTCTCAGATACTGAGATTGAGAAAAACAGGTAAGTATGTCAGTATTGAATGCTTCTCAGTTTGTTCCTTTCTGCCAGGAATAGTACATAGTTGTCATTCAAGAAAGAGGAAATTAAATATTATAGCCCCTACTAGGTTAGTGATTTTCTACAGAGTACGGAGAATGCTCTTAGCAGAATGGATTGTAGTGGTTCCAGAAAAGCTTCCCCCTGTACTAGTGAATGGAGACATTCTGCATTCGTTCAAAATGATGTACAGTACTGAAAGAGAATAAGGATATTGTAATGTTTTTCTGTATTTATCAGATTATATATAATCCACTCGCTCATCTCTGTCTATAATATAGGATGTAGAATCAGATTTACTTTCACGTATATTCATATCTATATCATCACAAACCTTGGGCAAGCTTCTTCTAATTTATAGAAGCAAAATTGGCCATAATAGGTAATAGATAATAGATAATAGATTTTCCATCCTGACATATTGATTTATTGATTTTGGTCAATATGGAATTAATCATATTTACTGAATGCATGCAAGGTTTTCTTTAGATGCTTAAGTATGTATGTATGTATGTAGGCGTGTATTTATTTATTTATTTATATGGCTGCCCTCTTACCAGAGCAACTCTGGGTGGTGAACAAAGTTTAAACAAAAACCACAGTATAAAACTGTTAAAACATACAATTCAAATTAAAAAAAGAAACAGCAGCTGAGAGTAAAAATTATAATATATAATATAATATAATATAATATAATATAATATAATATAATATAATATAAT